TATCATCCCATCAGTGCTTTTCAAAAGGCAAACTGGATTTTCTTGGTCTTTTTTTTGTTCCTTGAAGACGTCTCACTTCTCACCCAAGAAACTTCTTCTGTTCTTTAAAGCTGAAGAACTGAAGAAGCTTCTTGAATGAGAAGCAAAATGTTTTCAAGAGAAGAAAAAAACACACCTTTTGAATATTATATGATATGGGATTTATTTTATCAACGATTGGAAAACAAATATGGAAGTTAGAAATTAAAGAAGACTAGCACAAAATAGTAAACGTAAGAATTAAAAATGTTAAGATGGGGAATGTTATAAGAATTAGACACATGATGCAGATTAGTATTAAGTAAGAACAGAGTATTAAAGCTAAGCAATGAATATGTATAAACTATAATGGTTATTCCACAAGATATTTATACCCAGATGACACACTGTTCAAATGAAAGATAGAATGTTTGTATAAATAAAATTAAAAAAATATTAAAAATGGAAAAGAAAAGCACCTTTGGGGCAACCATGATCTGATTTGAGAATCTCCAAAGATATTCCTCCTTAATAAATATATTTCAGGGGTGCAGCCTGAGTCATTCCACAGTAAATTGACTTGCGCATACAATGTTTTGGTGCAAAAGTGTGTCTCTACCCACTTCCAACCGTATCTTCCCTCCCCCTCCACAGGCAAAATTGCATCCTGGCCGACGAAATGGGGTTGGGTAAAACCATCCAATCCATCGCCTTCTTGGAGGAAGTGTATAACGTGGGAATCCGGGGGCCCTTCCTGGTCATCGCCCCTCTGTCCACCATCACCAACTGGGAGCGGGAATTCAACACCTGGACCGAGATGAACACCATCATATACCATGGCAGCCTGGCATCCCGCCAGATGATTCAACAATACGAGATGTACTGTAAGGATTCCCGGGTAGGTAAATGGGGAGAGACTTTTTCTTTTTTGTGGGGGAGGGGGTGAACCATAAAGGAGCACAGAGGGCTTTTGGTTGAGATGGGAGGGGGAGACCAGAACATTTAGGTAGTCCTCAACATGCAACAGTTCATTTAGTGACAGTTTGAAGTTACAACGGCGCTGAAAAAAAGCAACTTGGGACCATTTTTCACAGTTACAACCTTTCCAACATCCCCCACATGATCAAAATTCAGACGCTTGGCAATTGCTTCAGCTTTATGATGGTCGCAGTGTCCCAGGGTTCACGTGATCCCCTTTTTTGCAACCTTCTGACAAGCAGAGCCCATGGGGAAGCCAAATTTCGCTTAACCGGGTTACTAACTGATCCACGACAGTGATTCACTTCACAAACGGGGCAAAGCTCCCTTAACCGATGTCCTACTTCGCAACACAAATTCTGGCCTCTGTTGTGGTTGTACATCGAGATGTTCAGGTAGTTCTCGATGTATGGCCAAATTTGAGAGCAGAATTTCTGCCATCAAGTGAGTTGGTTGATAAGCGAGCCGTGCCCAGTTTTATGACCTTTGTTTTTTGGGTTGTTTTTTGCCATGGTTGTTAAGCAAATCACTGCAGTTGTTAAGGGAATTGTGCAGTCATTAAGTGAGTCCGGCTTCCCCATTGTCTTTGCTTGATGGAAACCAGCTGAGAAGGTCACAAACAGTGATCACATGATCCTGGGAACACCACAGCTGTTGTCAATACATGTCCATTCCCAAGCACCCCAATTTTGATCACCTGACCATGGGGACACTGAGTGGTTTTGTAAGCATGAGGACGGGTGGCAAGTTGCTTTTTTCTGTGCCATTGTAACTGAACGGTCACTGAACAAATGGTCATAAGTTGAGGATTACCAGTAGTGATGAAAAAATGGACTCAGGCAAATAGGTTGTATTTCTTGTTCTTCCCACCTATTTCTGGGAAAATGCCTGAGGTAAATTTCAGGGCATACGGAAATTCTGCATTTCCTCTAGAAAGCAATAGAGCAATTATGGCTAAGAGGAGATATTTTGTTGAGGGCTGTTTTTTTTGTTTTTGATCTTCATAAGGTTTTATTTTTTGTTATATAAAATACAAAGAAAAGAAGAAAAAATAGGAAATTAAGGGAAGGAAAGGGATCGGGGAAAAGGGGTGTGAAATACAAGGGAAGGGGAAGAGAAAAAGAAAAAGGGGCATTGACTTCCAACACACACACACACTCTGTCTGCCTGTCTGTCGGTCTGTCTGTCTGTCTCTCTCTCTCTCTCTCTCTCTCACACACACACACACACGCACACGCACACACATATAACTAGCCATTCTTATAACACCAAATCTTTCTAATCAACAAAACCAAAATCATTGTTTTATTTTTTCTTCACAAGCACAAATTCCAGAAGTGATATCCAAATAAAAACATATTTTCCTCTTTGAATAAAATAATCAATATAACCACTCCTGTTTTATCTTCCTTGCTGTGGAAATAATGTGTATTTTTCTATTTGTACCTAGTAGTCTTTGTGATTACTTGTGATTTTGTCAAGTTTTTGGTGGAGTTTTCCGCCACCTCAGCAGGGCTGGATGAACTTGTCTGGGCTTTGAAGCTAAGCAGGATCAGATGTGGTCAATACCCCACCCGTTTCCCCCGAAAATAAGACTTTGCATGTTTTACATGTTCGCCTAATGTAAGCCCTACCCCCAAAATAAGCCCTACTTAAGAGCCTGCACAGCCGTCTGGCCGCCCATTTTGTATGATTGCTCATGGTACTGCTCCCATGTGTGGAGCTGCTCCATATGCCCCGCACTAGCTTACCTCAGGGCACCCACAGCCAGGCCATCTGTGCTCCAACACATTGTGCAGCAGGAGCTTGATCATGGCTGCAATGGAACAGGAGGCCAAGCAATGTGTTGGTGCCACGGCCGTGAGGCAAGGCAAGAGTCACGGTGTGGATAGTCTAGCTGAGGGGGCCCTGACGTAAACCAGTGCTGGACACGTGGGGCAGCTCCATCTCCCTGCCTCGCCTCGTGGCCATGGCACCGGCACGTAATTGGACCTCCTGTTTTGTTGCAGCCGAGAGCAAGCAGAAGAAGTGGGCTGGCACCCACATGGGGTCTTGCTGGACAGGGTTGGTGGAGCTGCCACTGCAAGGTGAGGCAGGTGTCAGGGCGTGGGTAGCCTGGCTGCAGGAGCCCTGAGGTAAGCCAGTTCGGGGTGCATAGGGAAGCTCCACCCCCTATCTCATGGCAGTGGCACTGGTGCCCCATGTGGCCTCCTGCCCCACCATGAGCAAGCAGAAGTGGGCCTCCAGTACATGGAAAAAATAAGACACCTCCCAAAATAAGCCCTAGTGCTTATTTTGGGGCTCAAAAGAAAATAAGAGCCGGTCTTATTTTGGGGGAAACACAGTATTAAGGGAGGGAGTCCGCCCAAACAACCCAGGACTGTAGGTTCTGGGAAGTGACACCCCAGAAGAAGACGGTGGCCAACCTCTTCCAAACCGTTGTCTAGAAAACTGCTTTGCCAATGACGTAGCGGGAAATCAAGTTTGTTTATTTCTTTCTCGCTTCTGCCTCCCAACAGGGTCGCCTGATCCCAGGCGCATACAAGTTTGATGCCCTGATCACCACCTTTGAGATGATCCTGTCGGACTGTCCTGAGCTGAGGGAGATTGAGTGGCGTTGTGTGATCATTGATGAAGCTCACCGCCTGAAGAACCGCAACTGCAAACTGCTGGACAGCCTCAAGCATATGGACCTGGTAGGACCCCAAGCTTTCTGTCCTGCTTGCGAAATACGTTTATGGATATCTTGCTGGATTTGCTGCTTTAGAATAGAGTAGAACAGCAGAGTTGGAAGGGACCTTGGAGGTCTTCTAGTCCAGCGGTTGCTAACCGGTGGGTTGCGGCCCACTGGTGGGCCGGAAGAAAATTTTGGTGGGCCGCAGAGAAATCTCACCCCCAGAGCACCCCCCCCCCCAAAGCAATTAATCCAGGCTGTGCAGAAACACAAGGCTGCGCCACCCACATGGCCCGCGGGAACCCTCCCCGCCCACTCACTCTTTACCCTGCAAACTGGCCTGCTAAATTGCTATTTTTTCTTTTTCCGACCATCAGCTGTTCTTCTGTGCCGGGAGATTTAGATTAGCTAGGAAGCAGGAAATGGTTGGATTTTTTGCTTTCTAGCTAGTCTTTAGATCTTCGGCTCTGCTTTTAAGCACAGCCGAACCTTCCTTAGGACTGAAGCTTCTATTATTCAGTGCAGACTCACTGCAAGCAAATTTTATGTGACAGACTCAGGTAGCCGATGGCAGATAGATAGATCACTGAATGATTCTGTGAGCAACTCAATCTGCCTGCCTGGTTTGCCTGATTTTGGGTAAAAGTTGCTCTTTTTTTATAAATAATTCAATATTTACATACAGGTGAAACTCGAAAAATTAGAATATTGTGCAAAAGTTCATTTATTTCAGTAATGCAACTTAAGAGGTGGAACCAATATATGAGATAGACTCATTACATGCAAAGCAAGATAGTTCAAGCTGTGATTTGTCATAATTGTGATGATTATGGCTAACAGGTCATGAAAACCCCAAAACCACAATCTCAGAAAATTAGAATATTACATGCAATCAATAAAACAAGGATTGTACATAGAACAATATTGTACCTCTGAAAAGTATAAGCATGCATATGTACTCAGTACTTGGTTTGGGCCCCTTTTACAGCAATTACTGCCTCAGTGTGGCGTGGCATGGAAGCTATCAGCCTGTGGCATTGCTGAAGTGTTATGGAAGACCAGGATGCTTCAATAGCGGCCTTCAGCTCTTCTGCATTGTTCGGTCTCATGTCTCTCATCTTTTTCTTGACAATGCCCCATAGATTCTCTATGGGGTTCAGGTCAGGCAAGTTTGCTGGCCAATCAAGCACAGTAATCCCACGGTCATTGAACCAGGTTTTGGTGCTTTTGGCAGTGTGGGTAGGTACCAAGTCCTGCTGGAAAATGAAGTCAGCATCCCCATAAAGCTCGTCTGCAGAAGGAAGCATGAAGTGCTCCAAAATCTCCTGGTAGACGGCTGCGTTGACCCTGGACTTAATGAAGCACAGTGGACCAACACCAGCAGATGACATGGTTCCCCAAATCAACACAGACTGTGGAAACTTCACGCTGGACTTCAAGCATCTTGCAGTGTGTGCCTCTCCATCCTTCCTCCAGACTCTGGGTCCTTGGTTTCCAAATGAGATGCAAAAGTTGCTTTCATCAGAAAAGAGGACTTTGGACCACTGAGCAACAGACCAGTTCTATTTTTCTTTAGCCCAGGTAAGACGCTTCTGACGTTTTTTGTTGTTCAGGAGCGTCTTGACGAGGAATACCACATTTGAAGCCCATGTCCAGGATCCGTCTGTGTGTGGAAGCTCTTGATTCACTGACTCCAGCCTCAGTCCACTCCTTGTGAAAGTCCCCAACACTTTTGAATGGCCTTTTCCTAACAATCCTCTCCAGGCTGCGGTCATCCCTGCTGCTTGTGCACCTTTTTCTTCCACACTTTTCCCTTCCACGTAACTTTCTATTAATGTGCTTTGATACAGCACTTTGGGAACATCCAAATTCACAACTTCTAGAGGAAATTAATTGTTCTAACTGTCAGAAAATTTCTCCTTAGTTCTAGGTTGGTTCTTTCCTTGATTAGTTTCCACCCATTGCTTCTTGTCCTGTCCTCAGGTGCTTTGGAGAATAGCTTGACTCCCTCTTCTTTGTGGCAACCCCTGAGATATTGGAAGACTGCTATCATGTCACCCCTCGTGCTTCTTGTCATCAAACTAGACATACCCAATTCCAGCAACCCTTCTTTATATGTTTTAGCCTTCAGTCCCCTAATCATCTTTGTGGCTCTTCTCTGCACTCTTTCTAGAGTTGCAACATCTTTTTTATATTGTGGCAACCAAAACTGAATGCAGGATTCACCTTACCAAGGCATTATTGTGATGACCCGTAGTCTCTCAAACTAAACTTTGACTCCAGCAATTCTGACTACGCAGTTACAAACTTATATACATAGCTCCCAGCTGCAAGCCACGAGGAGGATCATGGTAATCTCCTCCTGAGTAGACCTCGCTTTTCCCTGATCCTCTCCTCCTTGCGTGCTCAGCCGGCCTCTGCCCTTCCCCAGCCTCCTCCACCACCTCTGGAGCCACACTCCCACTCCCTGTTGGCTGTTCCTCTTCCTCAGAGTCAGTCTCCACCAGGGGCATGACACTATCCCCCCCCGCAGGGCCCCCTCCCCCGGGACCAGGCGGACGAGGACGTTGAGGAAACCGAGCGTGAAAGTCTTGGACCAAACGAGGAGCATGAACATCAGTGGCATTGATCCAGGTTAAGTCCTCTGATCCATAACCTTTCCATGCCACCAAATACTGAAATCGGCCTCACAACTGACGTGAATCTCGGATGCTATCCACTTCGTACTCCTCCTCCCAGAGGGGCTACTGGGGCCGGCTGTGATGGAGCCGGTCTGTGCGGACTGTCGGCTGAGGCAGGGACTAACAGGGAATGATGAAAAACAGGATGAATACGCATGGTCCGTGGCAGGGAGAGACGATAAGCCACAGGATTGATTATCGCCTCGACCGGAAAAGGTCCCAAGTAATGGTGATCGAGCTTTTTCGATGGTCGCGTCGTTGGTAAGTATCGAGTAGAGAGCCAAACCCGATCGCCTACCGCTAAAGGCGGAACATCGCGACGATGTCGGTCTGCAAACCATTTATAGTCCTCCTTGGCTCTCTCTAGTTGATCGCGGACCATGTGGTGCACGGCTTTTAACTCCTGCAAAAATGTATCCACTGCCGGAACTGGGGAATCAGATGGGGCTAAAGGAAAAAGTCGTGGATGAAACCCATAGTTAGCAAAGAAAGGGGGCACATGGGTGGATGCATGTTGAGCATTGTTATAAGTGAATTCTGCCACCAGCAGCACTTCCGCCCAATTGTCTTGTTGAGTATTGCTGAAACAGCGGAGGTACTGCTCCAAAATAGCATTCACTCTCTCTGTCCCCCCACCAGTTTCGGGGTGATGAGCAGACAACAGACATGTCTGAACCTGCAGTTTCGTGAGTAGGGTCTGCCAGAAGCGTGCCGTAAATTGTACCCCCCGATCTGATACCATGCGGTCTGGTAACCCATGCAACTGGAAAACATGGGAGATAAACAATTGAGCCGTTATCTTGGCCGATGGAAGACCTGCACATGGAATAAAGTGGGCCATTTTAGTCAACATATCCACCACCACCAAAATGGTTGTGGCACCATTTGATGGTGGTAACTCAATGATGAAATCCAATGAAACTGCCCCCCACGGTCATTCTGGCGTGGGCAAGGGCTGCAAGGGACCAGGGGGCGCACCAGGAGCATACTTGGCTTGGCGACAGATCCCACAGGATGCCACATATCCCGACACATCATGTTTAAGTCTCGGCCACCAAAATGTCCTAGAGATGAGGTGCAGTGTTTTGGACACCCCAAAGTGTCCCGCCGCCAGACTATCATGACACTGACGTAGGATAAGGCCACGAAGAGGACCTCCAGGCACGTTAATGCGATCACAGAACCGCAACAGGTCCCCAATATATGCTCAAGGAGTCTCTTGTCTCCCATTCTCATCCAATTCTCGACATCGAGCTGCCACAAATGGGTCCTGCTGCTGCACCTTCTGAATCCTCACTCGGAGGTCCACAGGTTCCTCGGTGGCTGCAAACTGATCCAACGGAATCACCGTCCGGGGCAAGATTTTATCCTCCCTTCGGGTATACTCGGGCTTCCGAGATAGGGCGTCGGCGTGTTGATTCCCTCCACTCGGAACATAGGTCACCCGGAAATCAAATCAAGCAAAGAATAAGGACCATCTCAGCTGATGCTGGTTCAATGTCCGAGCTGTATGTAGGTGTTCCAAATTGCGATGATCCATCCGAACCTCGATTTGGTGACGAGCCCCCTCCAGGTGGTGCCGCCATGTCTCAAAAGTGACCTTAACCGCCAATAGCTCCTTGTCCCAAATCGTATAGTTGCGCTCTGGAGCCAACAACTTCCAGGAATAAGCGCACGGGAACAAGGTGCCTGCGGGAGCATAGGCCTGGAGGAGCACCGCACCAACAGCCACATTGGAAGCATCTGTTTCCACCACAAATGGCTGGCCTGGATCAGGGTGTTTGAGGATAGGCTCGGAAGCAAAGGCGACTTTCAACGCCTCGAAAGCTGGCTGCTCCTCAGCACCCCCATGGAACTTCTCCCCCTTCTTGAGCAGATTAGAAAGGGGAGCAGTCAAGGCAGCAAAGCGGGGAATAAATGTGCGGTAGTAGTTCGCAAACCCCAACAGTCGTTGCACATCCTTAACCCGCTGTGGAGGTTCCCACTCCTGCAATGATTGTATATTTTCTGGGTCCATTTCCACCCCGGCAGGTGAAATACGATGTCCCAAGAAGTTAATCGTGGTTTGTGCAAACTGACACTTCTCACGTTTAGCAAACAGGTGGTTATCACGCAAACGTTGCAACACCAGCCGCACATGTTGCCAGTGTTCCTTCAGGGAGTCTGAGTAAATTAAAATGTCAGCTAAATAAATGACCACAAATTGATCCAACAAATCACGGAAAACATCGTGCATGAAATGCATGAATACAGCTGGGACATTCGTTAATCCAAAAGGCATCACGGTATACTCAAAAAGTCCGTACCTCGTCCGGAAAGCTGTTTTCCACTCATCCCCTGC